ATTCAAATTGCCTCATTTATTATGATAGCTTCCTCATGTAAATTGTGCTGACTGCTCGCCCTTGCACACTCCTCATTAGACTAATGAAAACCTTCAAACGAAAAAACTAAACAACCTGCCAAATAAAGGTCCAGGGTTATTATGAAAATTACAACTGTGGGAGCCGCGAGAAGCTCTCTTCATTAATTCATGCTCAGCAAATTGGTAACTAATTTAGTTGCACTCCTCTGCATTAATGGGTTATTTTATAAAAATGTTTTTCTGTAGAACCGAGACCTCTGGTGAGACTGCGTTGGAGAGCCCGGAATCCTAATCAACACCGGTGACATATTTGGAATTTACAATCTCAATAATAATGTGGCCGTGTTTCTTTGTGGGTGTGTCACAAAAATGGATTGTCTGGTTTTCAATCCCCCCCCCCCCCCCCCCCCCCCTTCTCTCTCTCTCTACCACAAATCATAGGACATCACAGGTCTGAATTGTTAACAAATCTGTAATGTGTATATGGTAGAACAGCATGGTGCTAATAGGCTGAGGTTGAGGTGTTATGTCTCTGTTTATGTAAAGACTGGTTGAGAGTGTTGAGGTGAGCACTGAGCAGAGTAGTATGGAGAGTGTAGATGGGGGTAGCGGAAGATCATATTTGTTTATATTCACGGTTATTACACTATGTCCCCCGATGGTCGCAGCTCTGCACACTGTAACACACACATGTAGACACACACATGCACTCACTCACCCCGCCCACACACACACACACATACACACTCAAACATATAGACACACACACACACAGCCGTGGAGTTTGACCTATGAATTAAGAGCATGATCACACTAATTATTACTATTCACTACTTCCCATTGTGAGCGGAAGGACTACAGCTGATCTCCACTTTGGGCTAATTGTTAGCCGCTAACCAAAAGGGAACACACAGCCAAATGATTTCCACTGTGGTTTTGTTTTCTTTACCAACCACCCAGCTCCACCCCTCCCGACTCCACACAAACCCAACCCCAGCACAGCTCTAAATCATCATAGAATACTAAATACAATATTAGCATAATTGTATATTTAAGTCACAGGATTATATACTTTTATCTGCTCCCTGTTTGATTATTATTATTATTATTTTTTATTTTTTATTCCAAAATATTGCTCAATAGAGGGGAATGGTAGTGGAATTAATCTACAGTATAGAGACATATATAAGCATTTAGTAGACTACTTATCATAAATAAAGGTACATTTTCACCTAGTATTTACTAAGATGACTTACCGCTCTCTTTCTGGTATTTGTTACAATTAAACCACAAGTGAACAACAAGGAATCTTTTTTTGTTATCAGTTAAAATCATTTACAATTCTATTGACATATGTAAACATACACGTTCTTCTATATTCAACACATGGTTGCGTTGCGGTTGTCATAACCAAACTAAACCACGTATGGAACATACATACACATATGGAATGTAAATACGATACGTTGTAAGGTACAGTGCCTTCAGAAAGTATTCACACCCCTTGACTTTTTCCACATGTTGTTGTGTTACAGCCTGAATTTAAAATTGATTACATTGAGATTTCTTTGTCACTGGCCTACACACAATACAACATAATGTCAAAGTGGAATGATGTTTTTCATTTTTTTTTTCAATTAATAAAAAAAATGGAAAGCTGAAATATTTTGAGTCAATAAGTATTCAACCCCTTTGTTATGGCAAGCCTAAACATGTTCAGGAGTAAAAATGTGCTTAACAAGTCACATTATACGTTGCATGGACTCACTCTGTGTGCAATAATATTGTTTAACATGATTTTTGAATGACTACCTCATCTCTGTACTCCACACATACAATTATCTGTAAGGTCCCTCAGTTGAGTAGTGAATTTCAAACACAGATTCAACCACAAAGAGCAGGGAGGTTTTCCAATGCCTCGCAAAGAATATATTGGTAGATTTGTAATAAAAAAGCAGACATTGAATATCCCTTTGAGCATGGTGAAATTATTAATTACACTTTGGATGGTGTATCAATACACCCAGCCACTACAAAGATACAGGCGTCCTTCCTTACTCAGTTGCCGGAGAGGAAGGAAACAGCTCAGGGATTTCACCATGAGGCCAATTGTCACGACTTCCGCCGAGGCTGCCTCCCCTCCTTGTTCGGGCAGGTTTCGGCGTTCGTCGTCACCGGCTTACTAGCTGCTGCCGATCCATTTATCATCACTCCATTTGTCTTGTCTAATTCATCACACACACCTGGTCCTTATCCCCAATTAGGCATTGTATAAGTGTTCCCTCTGCTTCCTTGTCTGTGTGGGTGATTGTTTGTAGTGAGCTGTGTGTAGCTCGGTTGAGCTACCCTTACCTTGTTGCCAGGGTAGATATTTCCCCTGTGCCTGAGTTTTGTTGTCGCATGCTTGCGCAACTGTTTATCGACGGAATAAACTCTTTGGATGCGTATTACTCTCCTGTGCCTGACTCCTTCTATCACACGCATCACACCAATGGTGACTTTAAAACAGTTACAGAGTTTAATGGCTGTGATAGGAGAAAACTGAGAATGGATCAACAACATTGTAGTTACTACACAATACTAACCTGATTGACAGAGGTAATCCTACAAAGAATGTGGCCAAGCAATTCACTTTCTGTCCTGAATACAAAGTGTTATGTTTGGGGCAAATCCATTTCAACACATTACTGAGTATCACTCTCCATATTTTCAAGCATAGTTGTGGCTGTATCATGTTATGGGTATGCATGTAATCATTAAGGACTGGGGAGTTATTCAGGATACAAAATAATCAGAATGGAGCTAAACACAGGCAAAATCCAAAATAATCAGAATGGAGCTAAACACAGGCAAAATCCTCGAGGACAACCTGGTTCAAACTGCTCTCAGACACTGGGAGATTAATTTGCCTTTCAGCAGGACAACAACCTAAAACACAAGGCCAAATCTACACTGGAGTTGCTTACTAAGAATACAATGAATATTCCTGAGTGACAAACCTGCAGGAAAATCTATGGCAAGACTTGAAAATGGTTGGCTAGCAATGATCAACAACCAATTTGACAAAGCTTGAATAATTTTGAAAAGAATAATGGGCAAATATTGTACAATCCAGGTGTGCAAAGCTCTTAGAGACTTACCCAGAAATACACACAGCTGTAATCGCTGCCAAAGGTGATTCTAACATGTATTATCTCAGGGGTGTGCATATTTATGTAAATGAGATATTTCTGTATTTCATTTTAAATACAATACATTTGCTAAAATGTCTAAAAACATGTTTTCACTTTGTCATTATGGGGTATTGCGTGTAGACAAGTGATATATATGTAACAATTTTGAATTCAGGCTGTATCACAACAACATGTGGAATAAGTCAAGGGGTATGAATACTTTCTGAAGGCACTGTATATGTATGAAAATAGGACACATATCTTACCTTTGTCTATGTGCATTCAGTGCCTTCGGAAAGTATTCAGACCCTTTGACTTCTTCCACATTTTGTTACGTTACAGTCTTATTCTAAAATGGATTTAAAAAAAATTAAAATCCTCAGCAATCTACACACAATACCCCATAATGACAAAGCAAAAACATTTTTTTAGAAGTTTTTGCAAATGTATTAAACTGAGAAAACAGAAATACCTTATTTACATAAGTATTCAGACCCTTTGCTATGAGACTCGAAATTGAACTCAGGTGCATCCTGCTTCTACAACTTCATTGGAATCGACTTGTGGTAAATTCAAATGATTGGACATAATTTGGAAAGGCACACACCTGTCTATATAAGGTCCCACAGTTGACAGTGCATGTCAGAGCAAAAAACCAAGCCATGAGGTCGAAGGAATTGTCCGTAGAGCTCCGAGACAGGATTGTGTCGAGGCACAGATATGGGGAGGTGACTTAGAACCTGATGGTCACTCTGACAGAGCTCTAGAGTTCCACTGTGGAGATGGGAGAACCTTCCAGAAGGACAACCATCTCTGCAGCACTCCACCAATCAGGCCTTTATGGTAGAGTGGAAGCCACTCCTCAGTAAAAGGCGCATGACAGCCCAATTGGAGTTTGCCAAAAGGAACCTAAAGACTCTCAGACCATGAGAAACAAGATTCTCTGGTCTGATGAAACCAAAATTGAACTCTTTGGCCTGAATGCCAAGTGTCACGTTTGGAGGAAACCTGGCACCATCCCTACAGTGAAGCATGGTGGTGGCAGCATCATGCTGTGGAGATGTTTTTCAGTGGCAGGGACTGGGAGACTAGTCAGGATTGAGGGAAAGTTGAACAGAGCAAAGTACAGAGAGATCCTTGATGAAAACCTGCTCCAGAGCGCTCAGGACCTCAGACTTGTGCGAAGCTTCACCTTCCAACAGGACAACGCCCCCATGCACACAGCCAAGAGAATGCAGGAGTGGCTTCGGGACTCTGAATGTCCTTGAGTGGCCCAGCCAGAGCCCGGACTTGAACCCGATCAAACATCTCTGGAGAGACCTGAAAATAGCTGTGCAGCAACGCTCCCCATCCCACCTGACAGAGCTTGAGAGGATCTGCAGAGAAGAATGGAAGAAACTCCCCAAATACAGGTGTGCCAAGCTTGTAGCGTCATACCCAAGAAGACTCGATGCTGTAATCGCTGCCAAAGGTGCTTCAACAAAGAACTGAGTTAAGGGTCTGAATACTTATGTAAATGTGATATTTCCTTTTAAAAATGTTTAATACATTAGCAAAAATGTATAGAAACCTATTTTTGCTTTGTCAATATGGGGTATTGTGTGTAGATTGATGAGGGAAAAAAACATTTAATCAATTTTAGAATAAAGCTATAACGTAACTAAGTGTGAGAAAAGTAAAGGGGTCTGGATACTTTCCGACGGCACTGTAGGTCAATGTGCATATAGGTTTTTCAATAGGACACGTCTTACCTTTGTGAATGTGCATCCTCTTTGCTTCGTGGCTCATGTCGTGGGCCAGGTCACCTTCTTTAGGCCCAGGCAGAATGCTAGGGGAGAGGCCCAGCAGAGCTTGGTTCATTTGGTTCATAGAAAGACCATTCTGATGTATGGCTGGAGAGGAGAGAGAGAGTAGTACAGGTGAGCTAGAAGATGTCTTTGTCTGTTTGAGTTGACCTGTCTATGCCCTGTTTTTGGAAATGAACAGCTAGCTAGCAAATTTTGAACACGTGGATGACTCAGAATAAGTGTTTTTCAATCCTGGTCGTAAGGACCCTATAGTGTGCAAGGTTTGTTCCAGCCCAGCACTAATATACCTGACTCAACTGATCAAGTGTATTAATCATCAAATGAATCATCTAGCACTTGATTAGCTGAATCAGGTGTGTTACTGCTGTTGGGCTGAAACAAAAACTTACACACCCAGTGAGTACCTAGGACTAGGATTGAAGAGCACTACAAAATCCCAACTCTAAAATCAATTGATTTATCGGTTCAGTACAACAACAACAACAACAACAACAACAACAAAATTGGGTTAGTGGGTTAGCGGGGTCGGTTTGTTTACTTGCGGAACTGAACACGCAGTTAGCCAGTCTGACTCGTTGCATGGGGAGGGAATAGGGGGACGTACGTATCCTGTCTGAGGAGCTCTCTGTGTGGGCCGGCGAGCTGGAGACACTGCTGCTGCGGTGGGACGACGGGTGACTGCCGGGCCTCCTGCCGTCCTCTAAGGAGGGGGCGGGGGAGGGACTGTCTGGGACACGCTCCTGTCAATGACAGAGGGACATCAGTGACAAGGTCAAAGCTCACCAGCGACAACTGAGGTCCATGAAAGTAGATGCTGTGTAATCAACAGACATTTCCATAGTTCTTCCCTATCTGTCATCACAGTCAAAAGTTCAGGATAAGTAACTTTAAATGTCCAGAGCTGTATGTTAGTTATACACAGTGCGTGTCCATTCTGCCAGTTTATCTCGATGACTGTTGTGACTATTCTGCAGGGCATGCTCTGTTGCTGTGTCACGGCAGCCATGTTGTAATATGTTTAATTTACAGTTTAGTAAATGAAGTCCATTCTAGCGGTTTACCTTGATTACTGAGGTGACCATTCTGCAGGGCAGGCTCTGTTGCTGTGCCACATCGGCCATGTTGGAATATAACAGTGTTTCCCAATCCTGGTCCTGGGGACCCAAATGGGTGCATATTTTATTTTTGCCCTAGCAGTATCAAAGTTATGGGCCCCAAGGATCAGGATTGGGAAACACTGTCATATAATTTAATACTTTATAGTTTAGTTTTATGTTTATTATACACAGCTTACCTTGATGACTGAGGTGACCATTCTGCAGGGCAGGCTCTGTTGCTGTGCGACGGCGGCCATGTTGGCGATGGTGCTGAGGTGGTTCATCTGGCTCATTGCCATGGTGACAGAAGCAGGGGGCAAGCTGCACGGGATCAGGGGGTGGGGCATCATCATGAAGGGCAGTTCCAAACCTACAACAGGGGAGAAAGGTGATTGGTTAATGGAATCCATGGTTGATTGGTTCATCTGGATTGGATGATATTGATTGGTTAATTGGTTAATTTGACATAAAGGTAACCAATAAGGGCTGGTTTCAGTCATAACCTTCTACAATGTTAAGGTTTTTGTTTGACCATAAGAAAAAGCTTTATCTAAATGTAACTGAAAAGCCCTATTCACACGTGACTAGTATTACTAGAGAACGTTGGTTATGTAATTATTACCCCAGAAGTCCATTATTCCAGAGTTATTTCTTTCTAGGCATGAAGATATTTCAACAAGTCCAGGTGATAACATGGCTACACTGAGAACTCGTGCCTGGTTCCCAAGTTTCTAAACCATAACAAACCATCTTTGGTATAGTGTCGCCAACATTTTTGAATTTAGGAAGTGTGGTCATAATCATTATTTTATGTTGGGATACAGTAAATGCCCAAACATTTAGCACAGTTGTATGCTGCTTTGTGATCTATTAACAGCAAGGGTTGCATTAAAAGGCGCAATATTTTTTACTGATGCATTTGCCGATGTTCAATTCATTCGCACAAAACGTATAAACAAAAGTGTTCACTGTGAAACTTGACACATGTAGGCCCTTCATATATAGGCTATGCACAACAATTTATCAAATCAGTTATTGTTTTCTTGCTGAAACCGCGAGCAACACCTGTCAAACTCAGAATTTTTTCTCTAAACACAGGGATGTCAATTCGCACAGGACTAGTATTATCAGTTATTCTATCTGGAATTGTTACTCTCCTGCCATGTACAAATTACTGACATGGCAGATTCGGACAGGACAAAAATTACAGATATGGTGTTTTGTCCTCGTGCACATAATTACATTACCCGACCTCCCCCAGGAAAACAAATCCTGTCCGAATAGGGCTTAAAACTGCAAATACTGCATTGTAGATTTGATTGAATTAAGATTTGCTGAAATATTCTTTCTCTCATACCGAGGTGGGTGGATATGCTGGTATAACCTACAGATCACTGATACTGGCAAGCCATGGAATGCTAAAATAACAACATACAATTATTATTATCAAACGACACTACACTACACTACTCTAATCATTTTTGCGGGATGAGTTGAACCCGGTCCTTCCCTACAGTATATTTTGAGGCGTAAATGTTTAACAACACATGTTAATAATAGATACCATAACTGTAATAAAATGGTAATGATGATAACAGTAGTTCAAAGCCAAAAGTTAACACAGCCATAAAAGACGCATTAATTATTCTGTAGTTGAATAAAAGGTTATGGAAATAGGGCTCACTACTTACACGTAATGCATAATCTTAGTCTGCATCCCAAATGGCACCCTATTCTTTATAGGAATAGGGTGCCATTTGGGACAAACATCTGCAAAAATAAGGCAATCATTGGAAGCCATTACCCAAATGACTTGTTAAAACACGCTAATAACAAAACAAGTATCCTCAGAACTACAGTGTGACAAATGGCTACAGGCTAATTACTGTACAGTGTATAGGACCTAGGATAGTCTGGACCACTGAACAAGCAAGTCTGACTTTTAACTCTTACAACAACAGGACATTTTGATTTAATTTCAGCTCTGTTCTGTGATCTGCATTGGCCATGTTACCCCATTACAAGATCAGATTTCTAACAAATGTTATTCCATTTCGGCTCTGCAATAGTGCTCTAATTGGTCAAAGTGGAGACATTAGTCGGCCAGAAATGTAAGGAATGCCTTGTAAAAAAATACGATGGGGAATAGTGTAAGCTAGCACTCCGCTGTGCCTTTAGATGGTACAGTGTAATGAAAAGGTCTAACTTTCAAAGAACATGAACACACACAGAAGGTCAAAGTTAGGTATGTGTTCCAAACCACAAGCACCCTCCTCTCTGCACTACCACCAGCTTTAATTTAGCTTCTATAAAGAAATATATTATTTTATATATATATATATATATATATATATATATATATATATATATATATATATATATATATATACTACCGTTCAAAAGTTTGGGGTCACTTAGAAATGTTCCAGTTTTTTTTTTGTCCATTAAAATAACATCAAATTGATCAGCAATACAGTGTAGACATTGTTAATGTTGTAAATGGCTATTGTAGCTGGAAATGGCTGATTTTTAATGGAATATCTACATATGCGTACAGAGGCCCATTATCAGCAACCGTCAGTACTGTGTTCTAATGGCACATTGTGTTTGATAATCCAAGTTTATCATTTTAAAAGGCTAATTGATGATTAGAAAACCCTTTTGCAATTATGTTACCACATCTGAAAACTGTTGTGCTGAATAAAGAAGCAATAAAACTGACCTTCTTCAGACTAATTGAGTATCTGGAGCATCAGCAATTGTGGGTTCGATTACAGGATCAAAATGGCCAGAAACAAATAACTTTCTTCTGAAACTCGTCAGTCTATTCTTGTTCTGAGAAATTAAGGCTATTCCTTGCAAGAAATTGCCAAGAAACTGAAGATCTCGTACAACGCTGTTTACTACTCCCTTCATAGAACAGCGCAAACTGTCTCTAACCAAAATATAAAGAGTGGGAGGCCTCGGTGCACATCTGAGCAAGAGGGCAAATACATTAGAGTGTCTAGTTTGAGAAACCTCACAGGTCCTCAACTGGCAGCTTCATTAAATAGTACCCGCAAAACACCAGTCTCAACATCAACAGTGAAGAGGCGACTCCGGGATGCTGACCTTCTAGGCAGATTTGCAAAGAAAAAGCCATATCTCAGACTGGCCAATAAAAAGAAAAGATTATTGTGGGCAAAAGAACACAGACACTTGACAGAGGAAGATCGGAAAAAAGTGTTATGGACAGACGAATTGAAGTTTGAGGTGTTCGGAACACAAAGAAGAACATTTGTGAGACACAGACCAAATGAAAAGATGCTGGAGGAGTGCTTGATGCCATCTGTCAAGTATGGTGGAGGCAATGTGATGGTCTGGGGGTGCTTTGGTGCTGGTAAAGTGGGAGATTTGTACAGGGTAAAAGGGATCTTGACGAAGGAAGGCTATCACTCCATTTTGCAACGCCATGCCATACCCTGTGGACGGTGCTTGATTGGAGCCAATTTCCTCCTACAACAGGACAATGACCCAAAGCACAGCTCCAAACTATGCAATAACTATTTAGGGAAGAAGCAGTCAGCTTGTATTCTGTCTATAATGGAGTGGCCAGCACCGTCACCGGATCTCAACCCTATTGAGCTGTTGTGGGAGCAGCTTGACTGTATGGTACGTAAGAAGTGCCCATCAAGCCAATCCAACTTGTGGGAGGTGCTTCAGGAAGCATGGGGTCAAATCTCTTCAGATTACCTCAACAAATTGACAACTAGAATGCCAAAGGTCTACAAGGCTATAATTGTGCTAAATGGAGGATTCTTTGACGAAAGCAAAGTTTGAAGCACACAATTATTATTTCAATTAAAAATCAGTATTTCTAACCTTGTCAATGACTACATTTCCTATTCATTTTCCTATATTTCCTTTTCAAACTCATTTTGTGTATGTTTTCATGGAAAACAAGGACATTTCTAAGTGACCCCAAACTTTTGAACGGTAGTGTGTACAGTCATGGTCAAAAGTTTTGAGAATGACACAAATATTAATTTTCACAAGTCTGCTGCCTCAGTTGTTATGATGGCAATTTGCATATACTCCAGAATGTTATGAAGAGTGATCAGATGAATTGCAATTAATTGCAAAGTCCCTCTTTGCCATGAAAATGAACTTACTTCCCCAAAAAAACATTTCCACTGCATTTCAGCCCTGCCACAAAAGGACCAGCTGACATCATGTCAGTGATTCTCTCGTTAATACAGGTGAGAGTGTTGATGAGGACAAGGCTGGAGATCACTCTGTCATGCTGATTGAGTTAGAATAACAGACTGGAAGCTTTAAAAGGAGGGTGGTGCTTGAAATCATTGTTCTTCCTCTGTTAACCATGGTTACCTGCAAGGAAACACGTGCCATCATCATTGCTTTGCACAAAAAGGGCTTCACAGGCAAGGATATTGCTGCTAGTAAGATTGCACCTAAATCAACCATTTATCGGATCATCAAGAACTTCAAGGAGAGAGGTTCAATTGTTGTGAAGAAGGCTTCAGGGCACCCAAGAAAGTCCAGCAAGCGCCAGGACCATCTCCTAAAGTTGATTCAGCTGCGGGTTCGGGGCACCACCAGTGCAGAGCTTGCTCAGGAATGGCAGCAGGCAGGTGTGAGTGCATCTGCACGCACAGTGAGGCAAAGACTTTTGGAGGATGGGCTGGTGTCAATAAGGGCAGCGAGGAAGCCACTTCTCTCCAGGAAAAACATCAGGGACAGACTAATATTCTGCAAAAGGTACAGGCATTGGACTGCTGAGGACTGGGGTAAAGTCATTTTCTCTGATGAATCCCCTTTCCAATTGTTTGGGGCATCCGGAAGAAAGCTTGTCCGGAGAAGACAAGGTGAGCGCTACCATCAGTCCTGTGTCATGCCAACAGTAAAGCATCCTGAGTGTCACGACTTCCTCTGAAGCTGCCTCCCCTCCTTGTTCGGGCAGGCTTCGGCATTCGTCATCACCGGCCTACTAGCCACTGCCGCTCCATATCTCATCATTCCATTTGTCTTGTCTTGTCAATTACACACACCTGGTTCATATCCCCTCAGTAGTACATGTATAAGTGTTCCCTCTGCCCCCCTTCTCCTTGTGGGTCATTGTTACTTGTGAGTTGAGTGTAACTCGGTTGAGCTACCCGTACCTTGTATTTCCGGGGATATTATTCCCTGTGTGCCTGTATTTTGTTGACGCTATCCAGCGTAACTGTGTCCTACGGAATAAACTCTTTATTCAGTGATTTACCCTCCTGCGCCTGACTCCTTCAAATCACATTCTCACAGAATCACCCACCCGACACTATGGAGTCAGCGGGAGAGGAGCGCATGCCTGGAGTCGTGGCACGGGTCCAGGAGCATTCCACAATGCTGGCCAGCTTGGGGGAAGCGATGGATCGGATTCTTCAGGTCGTCCAACGCCTGGAGAGGAGAGGAACCGATCTGTCGAGACCAGCTGGCCAACCGGATCCAGCCACCCATACCCCAGCACCCGGAGGGATCCAGATATCCCGACAGCGGGAGTTCGACGGGACAGCGGCGCTCTGCCAAGGATTCCTCCTCCAACTGGAGCTCTATTTCTCCAGCATCAGGCCGGCCCCATCGGAGCAGGAGAAGGTGTCCGCCCTCGTCTCCTGCATCTCGGGGAAAGCCCTGGAGTGGGCCAGCGCTGTGTGGAACGAAGGAGGAGCCGCATTGGAGAACTACGGGGAGTTTGCTCGCCTCTTTCGGGCGGTCTTCGATCACCCGCCCGAGGGTCAAGAGGCGGGCGAGCGGCTGGTCCACCTGAGGCAGGGGACGGGGACCACGCAGGACTTCGCTTTGTAGTTTTTGACTCTGGCAGCTGGGTCCGGGTGGAACTAGCGGGCCCTTATCGACCATTTCCGGTGCCATCTGCGGGAGGACGTCCGACGGGAGCTAGCTTGCCGGGACACCATGTTGTCTTTCACGCAACTGGTGGACATGGCCATCCATTTTAACAACCTGCTGGCAGCCAGAGGACATCCTGGAAGGGGTCTGCTCGTTCCCACCCCGGCCTACTCGGATCCCGAGCTGATGGAGCTGGGTGGAGCCACCATCCGAGAGAGCAGAGGACGACAGCAACAGTACACCACACAGAGTAGTCAATGCTCTTTTGGGTCTGGAGGCGACAGGCAGGGCACTCTCGCATCACCCCAGGTATCGAACATCCACACTCGTTCAGAGCCCTCTGCTTTGCACTGTACCCTACCCATCTACTTTCCCGATCACATGGTAGTTCCCCAGTGTAAGGCGCTAGTCGATTCAGGCGCAGCTGGGAACTTTATGGACAGGGCATTCTCACGCCGTCTAGGTATTTCATTGGTTCCCCTATCCATTCCACTCCCCATCAGAGCACTTGATAGTCGACCATTAGGGTCCGGGTTTGTTCAGGAAGTTACTGCACCAGTCACCATGATTACCCAGGAGAGTCATTGTGAGCAGATCACTTTTTTTTTTATTGAGTCCCCTGCTTTCTGTGTGTTATTAGGTATCCCTTGGTTAGCACTCCACAACCCCACCGCAGAGGGTTCTCACGGGGTGATCGCGAGAGTGTCAGGGTAGGTGTCTAGGTGTTTCCGTTGGTGCAACCACGGTGGAAAGTCCAGACAGTACCTCCACCGTGCGCATTCCCCCCGAATACCTCGATTTGGCGCACGCATTTTCAAAGACGCAGGCTACCAAGTTACCACCTCATCGGGCGGGGGATTGCGCGATAAACCTCTGGGTAGACGCTGTACCTCCCAGGAGTCATGTGTACCCCCTGTCGCAGGCTGAAACGGCGGGTATGGAAACATATGTCACTGAGTCCCTGCGCCAGGGGTATATACAGTTGGGAAAAAAAGTATTTAGTCAGCCACCAATTGTGCAAATTCTCCCACTTAAAAAGATGAGAGAGGCCTGTAATTTTCATCATAGGTACATGTCAACTATGACAGACAAATTGAGAAGAAAAAAAATCCAGAAAATCACATTGTAGGATTTTTTATGAATTTATTTGCAAATTATGGTGGAAAATAAGTATTTGGTCACCTACAAACAAGCAAGATTTCTGGCTCTCACAGACCTGTAACTTCTTCTTTAAGAGGCTCCTCTGTCCTCCACTCGTTACCTGTATTAATGGCACCTGTTTGAACTTGTTATCAGTATAAAATACACCTGTCCACAACCTCAAACAGTCACACTCCAAACTCCACTATGGCGAAGACCAAAGAGCTGTCAAAGGACACCAGAAACAAAGTTGTAGACCTGCACCAGGCTGGGAAGACTGAATCTGCAATAGATAAGCAGCTTGGTTTGAAGAAATCAACTGTGGGAGCAATTATTAGGAAATGGAAGACATACAAGACCACTGATAATCTCCCTCGATCTGGGGATCCACGCAAGATCTCACCCCGTGGGGTCAAAATGATCACAAGAACGGTGAGCAAAAATCCCAGAACCACACGGGGGGACCTAGTGAATGACCTGCAGAGAGCTGGGACCAAAGTAACAAAGCCTAACATCAGTAACACACTATGCCGCCAGGGACTCAAATCCTGCAGTGCCAGACGTGTCCCCCTGCTTAAGCCAGTACATGTCCAGGCCCATCTGAAGTTTGCTAGAGTGCATTTGGATGATCCAGAAGAGGATTGGGAGAATGTCATATGGTCAGATGAAACCAAAATATTTTGGTAAAAACTCAACTCGTCGTGTTTGGAGGACAAATAATGCTGAGTTGCATCCAAAGAACACCATACCTACTGTGAAGCATGGGGGTGGAAACATCATGCTTTGGGGCTGTTTTTCTGCAAAGGGACCAGGACGACTGATCCGTGTAAAGGAAAGAATGAATGGGGCCATGTATTGTGAGATTTTGAGTGAAAACCTCCTTCCATCAGCAAGGGCATTGAAGATGAAATGTGGCTGGGTCTTTCAGCATGACAATGATCCCAAACACACCGCCCGGGCAACGAAGGAGTGGCTTCGGAAGAAGCATTTCAAAGTCCTGGAGTGGCCTAGCCAGTCTCCAGATCTCAACCCCATAGAAAATCTTTGGAGGGAGTTGAAAGTCTGTGTTGCACAGCGACAGCCCCAAAACATCACTGGTCTAGAGGAGATCTGCATGGATGAATGGGCCAAAATACCAGCAACAGTGTGTGAAAACCTTGTGAAGACTTACAGAAAACGTTTGACCTGTGTCATTGCCAACAAAGGGTATATAACAAAGTATTGAGAAACTTTTGTTATTGACCAAATACTTATTTTCCACCATAATTTGTAAATGAATTCAATAAAAATCCTACAATGTGATTTTCTGGAATTGTTTTTCTCATTTTGTCTGTCATAGTTGACGTGTACCTATGATGAAAATTACAGGCCTCTCTCATCTTTTTAAGTGGGAGAACTTGCACAATTGGTGGCCGACTAAATAATTTTTTCCCCCACTGTAGGTCCCTCCACTTCACCCCCTCCTCGAGTTTCTTCTTTGTGAAGAAGAAAGACGGCGGTCTGCGCCATTGCATTGATTATCGACCACTGAACAAGGAGACGATCAGGTTTAGTTATCCTCTCCCCCTCATTCCGTCAGTAATCGAGTCAATGCGCTTCTTCACCAAATTAGATCTCAGGAGTGCGTACACCCTGGTGCGTGTTCGGGAGGGGGATGAGTGGAAGACAGCATTCAGCACAACCACGGGCATTATGAATACCTGGTGATGCCCTACAGTTTGATGAATGCTCCATCCGTCTTTAGTCCTTTGTGAAAGAGGTGTTTCGGGACATGCTTGGTCGCGCTGTAGTGGTCTACATGACATTCTGGTGTATTCCGCTACGCGCGCCGAGCATGTGTCCCTGGTTCGCAAAGAGCTGGTCTGACTGTTGGAGAATGACCTTTATGCCAAGGCAGAGAAGTGTATGTTTTTCCAGCAGTCGGTCTTCTTCCTCCGATACCACATTACCACCTCAGGGGTGGAGATGGAGGGGGATCGCGTTTCAGCCGTGCGTAATTGGCCGACCCTCACCACGGTTAAGGAGGTGCAGCGCTTTCTGGGCTTTGCCAACTACAATCGGAGGTTTATCCGGGGCTTTGGCAAGGTCGCAGCACCCATTACATCTCTGTTGAAGGGTGGGCCGTCCCGGCTCCGCTGGTCTGCTGAGGCTGACGTGGCCTTCAGGAATCTGAGGGGTCTGTTCACCTCAGCCCCGGTACTGGTCCACCCCGATCCATCACTACCATTCGTAGTGGAGGTGGATGCATCCGAGGTAGGGATAGGCGCTGTCCTATCTCAACACTCGGGCACGCCACCCAAGCTCCGCCCCTGTGCATTCTTCTCTAAGAAGCTCAGCCCAGCGGAGCAGAACTACGACGTTGGTGATCGGGAGCTGTTGGCTGTTGTCCGAGCTTTGATTATGTGGAGGCATTGGCTCAAAGGGGCGAAACACCCTTTCCTCGTCTGTACGGACCACCGTAACCCGGAGTACTCCAGCCAGCGAGGAGGCTGAATCCTCGCCAGGCCAGGTGGGCCCTATTCTTCACCCGGTTCGATTTTACACTGTCATACATCCCGGGTACGAAGAACATGAAAGCATACGCATTGTCACGGCTGTATGACACAGAGGAGAGGCCCAAAGACAACACCCACATACTCCCGGCTTCCTGCATTGTGGCGCCGGTAGTATGGGCGATGGACGCGGATATAGAGCAGGCATTACGCACAGATCCATCTCCACCTCAGTGTCAAGCTGGGCTGCGGTACATGCCTGCTCTTATCCGTGATCATCTGATCTACTGGGCACACACGTCACCCTCCTCTGGTCACCAAGGTATCGGTCGTACAGTGCGCTGCCTGACCGGAAAGTACTGGTGGCCTAACTTGGCCTCCTGCTCGGTGTGCGCCTAGAGTAAGGCACCTAGGCACCTCCCAGCGGGTAAGTTACAACCTTTACCAATTCCACAATGACCATGGTCTCATCTAAGTGTTGATTTCCTGACTGATCTTCCCCTCTCCCAAGGTAACAACACACCTGGTCGTTGTGGATCGCTTTGTCAAGGCCTGCCGCCTCCTTCCATCGGCCCGGTCTCCACACGGCCTTGTAAACTGCGGAGGCCCTGTTTACACACGTCTTACAGCACTACGGGGTACCAGAGGACATAGTGTCTGACCGAGGTCCCCAGTTCACATCCAAGGTCTGGAAGGCGTTCATGGAATGTCTGGGGGTCTCGGACAGCCTGACCTCTGGGTTCCACCCCGAGTCTAATGGGCAGGAGGAATGGGTAAATCAGGATTTGGGTAGGTTCATGCGGTCCTACTGCCAGGACTGGCCGGGGGAGTGGTCGGTGTTCTTGCCATGGGCCGAATATGCCCAGAACTCTCTCCGGCACTCCTCCACTAACCTAACACCTTTCCAGTGTGTTCTAGGTTACCAATCGGTTCTGGCACCATGGCACCAGAGCCAGACCGAGGCTCCTGCGGTGGATGACTGGTTTCGGTGCACGGAGGAGACGTGGGACGCTGCCCACGTCCACCTCCAACACGCCGTGCGTCATCAGAAGGCCAACACTGACCGCCACCACAGTGAGGTCCCGGTTTTCATACCGGGTGATCGGGTCTGGCTCTCGACCCGGAATCTGCCCCTCTGCCTGCCCTGCCGGAAGCTGAGCCCGCGGTTTGTGGGGCCATTTAAAGTCCTGAGGAGAATCAACAAGGTCACATATAGGTTATTACTTCCCCCCCGATTACTGTATTAACCCCTCGTACGGTCAGGAGGAACGGTGCTGTGTTGTCACGGCGAGGAATATCCTCGATCCCTCCCTGTTGCGGGACTTCCACCGTCGCCATCCGGCTCGCCCTGCTCCGCGTACTCCAGGCCATACCCGAGGCCGGGGTCGGCGTGCTGCTGGAGCTGCGCGTCAAGAGGGGGGGTACTGTCACGACTTCCTCCGAAGCTGCCTCCCCTCCTTGTTCGGGCAGGCTTCGGCGTTCGTCGTCATCGGCCACTGCCGCTCCATATCTCATCATTCCATTTGTCTTGTCTTGTCAATTACACATACCTGGTTCATATCCCCTCATTAGTACACATATAAGAGTTCCCTCTGCCCCCCTTGTCCTAGTGGGTGATTGTTACTTGTGAGTTGAGCTCGGTTGAGCTACCCGTACCTTGTATTTCCGGGGATATTGTTCCCCGTGTGCCTGTATTTTGTTGACGCTATCCAGCCTAACTGTGTCCTACGGAATAAACTCTTAATTCAGTGATTTACCCTCCTGCGCCTGACTCCTTCAAATCACATTCTCACACTGAGACCATTCATGTGTGGGGTTGCTTCTCAGCCAAGGGAGTGGGCTCACTCACAATGTTGCCTAAGATCACAACCATGAATAAAGAATGGTACCAACACATCCTCAGAGAGCAACTTCTCCCAACCATCCAAGAACAGTTTGGTGACAAACAATGCCTTTTCCAGCATGATGGAGCACCTTGCCATAAGGCAAAAGTGATAACTAAGTGGCTCGGGGAACAAAACATCAAAATGTTGGGTCCATGGCCAGGAAACTCCCCAGACCTTAATCCCATTGAGAACTTGTGGTCAATCCTCAAGAAGCGGGTGGACAAACAAAAACCCACAAAGGCTGACAAACTCCAAGCATTGATTATGCAAGAATGGGCTGCCATCAGTCAGGATGTGGCCCAGAAGTTAATTGACAGCATGCCTTGGCGGATTGCAGAGGTCTTGAAAAAGAAGGGTCAACACTGCAAATATTGACTCTTTGCATAAACTTCATGGAATTGTCAATACAAGCCTTTGACACGTATGGAATGCTTGTAATTATACTTCAGTATACCATAGTAATATCTGACAAAAATATCTAAAAACACTGAAGCAGCAATCGTTTTGAAGACCAATACTTGTGTCATTCTCAAAACTTTTGACCACGAATGAATATATATATGTATATGTTTTCCGTTATTATTTTCCCCTAACCCTACCACCCCTCCCTAATTGGAGTAAACTAATGGATAACAATAACTAGGCTTCTACTCTATCAACTGAGCTACATCCCTGGGCCCCGTGTAGCTCAGTTGGTAGAGCATGGCGCTTGCAACGCCAGGGTTGTGGGTTCGTTTCCCACGGGGGGCCAGTATGAAAAAATAAATAATGTATGCACTCGCTAACTGTAAGTCGCTCTGGATAAGAGCGTCTGCTAAATGACTCAAAATGTAAATGTAAATCCCTGCCGGCCATTCCCTCCCCTACCCTGGACAACACTGGGCCAATTGCGCACCGCCCCATGGGTCTCCCGGTCATGGCCGGCTACAATTTGAACCAGGATCTCTAGTGGTACAGCTAGCACTGTGATGCAGTGCCTTAGACCACTGCGCCACTCGGAAGATACTTCCAGTTTGCACATACTATATACATTTTACGGACACAGTATATTTTACATTAGCTATCTTTTGTTTGTTTTTAGTCCCATCATTCAGCTACCCTCAACCCCTCCCATCTATCTCTGAAGACCATCCCACCACTTCTTTGGGGGGCTTTGAACTTGGCGGGATGAAAAGTGACTGGGAACATTTTGGTCTTGTTCCTTTGACACTCAGATGCTTCCCCCTGAAGTAGTTTAAAGCAAACATCTAAAAAAACAGATTTTTTTGTGTTTTCTTTTGGCAGCTTGGCTCAAAGTAAAGAGCCTAAAGAAAAAGAAGAAAAAAACAACAACGCTAGAACCAACACAGAAAGCTAATCCACAAAACAACTCTGCTTTTGCGAGAAAACATCAGTTGCCAACAAGGGGCAAGGCGATCCACACCGCAAAGAAAACCTCAAAAGACAAGGGCTGTTTGTGAAATGAAAGACAAGGAGGTAGTCCTTCTCGCCGTTGTTCCCTTCCATTCTTCCCGAATCATGTTGATTTCCATAAGAAAGATGGCATGCAGATTCCGAGTGGCGAGCATTCCCAAACATGAAGAATCAATGACCTCTCAGCGTCCTGGGCTCAATTAAAACAGTGCCACAGAGGGCCTGATGGCAGGGGTACTTACAGTGAGACATCATGGAGAGGCCCACTGTATGTGTGTGTATCTACGTTTCCAATGCACTCAAGGGCCAACGTGGGGAGCGGTATTCTGCTTTGAGGGATACACATTGCCAAGTGCGCACATACACATGCAACGCAGGCATGTGCAAGAACACACAGACCCGGACACACACACACACTACGTCTGACTTACATCTTAAGGAAAACAACATACACATAAGAGGGGAGAGAGATTTTTAAAAATCATTGCCTGACACTGATATGACTTTGCTTTTGTCATTAAAATACTGCTTTATCAACCATAGCCGTGAGTGATGTCTCTTGTGTTAACCGCTGTACTGTACTTCTATGGTATGTCTCAGTCTGAAAGGTATGCACACACACACACACACACACACATGCACACCTCTTGATCTCTAGATCTCTCTCAACCATCCTCAAACGATGTTTCCTCCATAAAGGCCCATTCAGTTGACTGTAGGGGAACCTGTTGTAGGCCAAGACGAGTTCACACAGTCCTTTCATGGGGGACTGAAAGGCATATATTAGGTGTTGATGGAACATAGCTGAGTGTTTTAGTTGTTTATTTGAGTGTATGTTTTTTTTCCAGACATATTGTTGTTTTCTTTGTATTGGAAGGGGTTCAATTACTTTTCCCAGGTACTTACAGTATATGGTGGATTTATAGTGAATGGGTTAGAAGTAGACAGGCCAACTATTGTAATATTTAAATAATATGGACATTGGTATGTGTGTGTGACTGCATTGTTTGTTTTTGACCCCTTTCAATAAATGTTTTGAACAATATGAAAAGGACCTAACTTGATCAACATTACAGTAAGTTTGGTTTTCATGTAACCACATCGCTAGATGCATTAGTTTGTCAGTTACTGTTATTCCCCTATACAGTAGTTCAACTTCAGCGAGTTTAATTCCCATGCGTTGCTTTCCTAGTGAAGAGCATAAACAACACCATTTGGAGTAATTTACCTGGAGTAATCCCTAGGGACTTCCAAAGGTAAACTCCTACTTAGCTACCATCATTAAAACAACAAATTAATACGCAGGCAAACAGCTCAAGCTATGGGTAATACAGTACCTTGGAAGTGCACGCATGAATAAGCAATGATCCGAATCATGGAGGATAAATGTAATGAATTCAAATACCCTTCGGAAAGATCACATGATTAAAAAGGTGTTGTCAGACAGAAACACATGGAATATGTCTGGAAAACAACAAGCATGTTCAAGCATTAATACAAAATCAGTTGATGAAGGGTTTAAAATGATTAAAAAGAGGGCAATAATTGCTACCTCTTTCAATGACTAAAATGACTGAGTCATTAACCTGAAGCGAAGCAATATCCTCTATTGTTAATCCTGCTGGTGTTCTAGCGGTGTGTGTGTGTGTCTGTGTGTGCCTGTGTGTGTGTGTGTGTGTGTTAACAGTACTCCTGATGGAGACAGCTATTCTAACCACCTTTTCCTACAATGGGGAATCCTCTGGGGTGGGAATAATGGCAAATTAATCCAAAGGTGTCCGACTGAATACCTAGCCTTCCGAATAGCACACAGACCTCTGTCTAGCTGCCAACCAACAGTTTTAGCTCTAGAGTGGCTAGATTTCCCTTGACAAAAATTTAACCAGCTCCTACTTGCCACATTATTATCTCTTCAACTGAATGATTTATTGTTTGTGGAGCGAAACAGAAACAAAAGCGAGAGAGATTACATTTTCAGCCACAGCTCAGGCTCAGATCTCTTTTTTTCTCTAACTCCCTCTGTCCAGCAGAAAGTCTCATGACAAACAATAATGTCAGCTGTAATTGATCGGAGGTCGCCGCCAGGGCCTTGAGTAAAAGCTCTGCTATTTAAGTGACAATTGGCGCAAGCCAGGGCAGAGCGGTCTCCTCAGATGCTAGAGCTAATGAAGCTGTCTGTCTGTTATTTACCTTCTTTTAACTGGAAAAGGGGTTGAGATGTACTGTAAGAGATAGCAAGGACTGGAGAGGATCTGTCCAGGCCTCTCTCTCTCTCTCTCTGTCTTGCTCGCTGGTCAAGTAGGACCGTGACGACATCGGAGGAATGCGTAATTGGTTGTCTGTCGCAGCCAAAGCTGAGGAATCCGTATGCTAGCTAATAAATGGCTTGTTTCAAGCCTATCTGTCAAACTAAAACATATTCGAATGTGGTCAGAGCCTTTGATTTGGATTGGGAAAGACACAGGGTTGATGTGTACTGTGTTATTAAGCCTCCTTTTGCTTTCATGGTACAGAGATGTGTTTCTCTTCTGCTCTGTCAAAAAACTATAAATGGCACAAAATGGCTACTTTTGGGCCCTGGCCAAAATTAGTTCACTATATAGGGAACAGGGTACCATTTGGGACCCAGTCAATGGCTATGAGTTGTGGGCCCTTTTAGTGGTCGCCCAGTACCACTAATCAGCCATTTATCTTTACTGTAAGTACTAATTTCTCCAGAATGCAACAGCACAGCCTTATGAGGTGTGTGGGCCATGAAACTCCATCAGATGGAAGCGCAAGCTATAGGAAATATACAATAAAAAACCCATAAACATATAATCTGGTATTGTGGCAGTGCTATGGGCTGTTTTCATCTACACATGTACACACACACAAACACAGACATACAGACACATACCCAGACACGCACACACATCCCCTACACACACACACACACCTACGCGCACACGCATACACACACACACACACAAAACACAGACATACAGACACATATACACAGACACCACAGGAGGTTGGTGGCACCTTAATTGGGGAAAACGGGCTCATGGTAATGACTGGAGCGGAATTACTGGAATAGTATCAAATACACCAAACACATGGTTTCCAGGTGTTTGATGCCATTCCATGCGCTCCCTTCCGGCCATTATTATGAGCCTCCTGTGACAGACACGCACATACATCCCCTATATGCACAAGCACACACACAAACAAACACACACACCCACACAGAGAGTACACACAACACACCTGCCCACAATATGGTCGACATTCCTATTGCCGCAGCATGAAAGAGATACACATACTTTCCAATGATTCAGGTGGGAACACTTGCAAACTCACATCATGTAATCTAATGTAATTTAATGTTAGAGAAAGTAATGATAACAAAACATCTTTGGTTTAATGAGGTAGCATAATGACTTGCCTCCCCCTGAACTGCTATGCGCGCATTTACTCTAGTGTTGCACGGCATACTGAAACTTTGGTACTTTTTCAATACTAGAACATGAAAAACTTTTCGGTACTAGAATTTTTGTTACGTTCGGCGCAACGTCCCTACTCCACTTACTCATTGCTAGCCTGCACTGGGAGTCTGGACCTCATTATGTTAGCTCCCCACTCATGCTGCACAGAAGTTAACATACTTGAATAATGTGACATATTATGTAGAAATGTTGAAACTGTTAATTACTGTTCGCAAAACAATGTCCATACAGGCTAGAGCACTTTACAATGCAAGAAGATAACGGTATCTTCCAGCTTTGTAGGCTAACTTTCCTTGCTAGCTGACAGCTAAAGCTAACATAAATTCACTACCCTAGTACTTTGTTTGTAATACCATAACACACAATATGCTGATTTTAAAGCTGATTGCCACCAAAAACTTTATTAATTCACTTATTCGGTCTCTCTCACATCTCTCCCAAAGCTTATCTATTTCCTCAGCGAACTGACTGTGCTCTGACAGGTCGCCCCCCTCTTGCCTTGTGAATGATGTCATTACTGGTTAAAGACAGAGCACATTTTTATAAAAGAAGCTACTTCTATGCAAATGTTGTTGATCAGTACAATCAAATAATTCCCAAATGGAAGGGAAATGGATTGTTTGTCATCTGTAGCCCCAGCCAAAACAAGCTCAATAACTCAATGCATGCACACAATCCTATTGAAAATGCATTCACCTGTATTGTGGATAGGCCTAGGCTACATCTTTTTGATATACCCAGTTTTTCAATATAGATTTACCATTCAAATAAATTATTACCATTATGTTGTTATGTAGTTAGATTGGTAAAAACAAAGTCAAATGTATTGTATGATTGTAAAATCGATTCATTAATGAGTACATGGCTGTCTCTGAAAATTGTTGACATAATTCAAATATATATATATATATATATATATATATATATATTAATGATAATGAACTCAAAAGATGCCCAACGATTGAACAGAGCAGTAGCTGAATTTATCTGTCTGGATCAAGTGCCATTCTGTGACTTTGGCCTTCTTCTTACCGTGGTATCGTTTTGGTATCATTTTGGTATCGAGTATCATGATGGTATCGAGTATTGTGATACTAAACCTGGTGTTGGTATTGTGACAACACTAATGTACTCACACATACACTCACACACACACAGTATATCATGTGGTAGGAAATATCCAGGAGACAGACAGTGTTGTTTGTCCTGTAAGTATATAAAAAATTCAGCCACCAGCCGCCTACTCCAGATGACTGGGGCTGTGGTGCAATCAATTGCAGATAGCATTTTTTTCCGGGGATATCGCTTTCAGAAGTGTGTTTTAAATAAAGTGTCAACTCCTTCCATCTGGGATATCCTCCATCCAGGATATGCTGGTGAACATATCATACACATTTGATTGATTGATTCAGTCCACATCACTACTTGCAGGCTGTCTATGAAAATAGAATGAATGGTTACAAGAGGTTGAAAAGATCATTCTGTTTAGTTCATTCTGTCATGGAGTCACAATGTAGTATCTATGTATCTGTGATTTGATAATTGTCAACAACAACAAAAACATGATGACATGTCTTTCATAATGTCTCAATCTTTCTCACAAGATACTTCCAAAATTATTATTTTTCCAAATGAACCATGTGCTTGAAAATAACATGCCACACTAAATGTTGACCCTAACTATACAATTACCACATTTATGTAATGCACTAAACAACTTGAGGGACAGAGATGTTATAGACCAGGGTCGTTTTCATTTGGCACCAAATTATAGAAAACAGACTGATACTGGGAGGGACAACCTGAACTTGTCCATTAAGAAACGTTTATTTTCATTTTACGTTGCAAAACATATTGCTACGGTGTGCCCCAATATACACAACCCTGATTAACATAATCATCCACATGGCTAGGGATTCCCAGGATGTCCAAGCCTCCAGGAGACATTGATATTATACCATGACCATACTGTTCACATTTCTAGTGTGGGTATGGGCCCATCTCACTTGACATTTGTCACAGGTCACTCACAATAAACTGATAAACACAAACACACACACACACACACACACACACACACACACACACAATCACACACATGCACACACACACACACACACACACACACACACACACACACACACACACACACACACACACACACACACACACACACACACACACACACACACACACACACACACACACATAGAGAACCCATTACTAGCAGCTATTACTACTGAGGCTGTAATATATCCCCTGCCAATCAATAGAGTTCTCGTGTCAGGTGACACCCCAAGCAGATAGAGGAATCATTTCCATGTGATACTTAGTAAAAGGCCTCTCCCCCTTTTAAAAAGATTGCTTTCAGTCAAATGGCGAGCCGTTGTCATTTGATTCACGCCGATCTCCGCCATCATTTGGGTGCAATTTGGGGATCGGTTTACATGTGCTGGTCACCAGATCATCTGTTTTAATTACAACATTAGCATTACTCACTCCGGCCTGTTCTCTTCATCCATAACCATCGGTCCTTGAGAGAAAATCAGTACGATCTCTCATAATTCTAACAATTTCAATGAAAAGCATAGGATGGTGTCATGTCTACTTTTGTTAGACTTCAGTGCGGCTTTTGACATTATTATTATAGTCTGTTGCTGGAAAAACGTATGTGTTATGGCTTTACACCCCCTGCTATATTGTGGATAAAGAGTTAACTGTCTAACAGAACACAGAGGGTGTTCTTTAATGGAAGCCTCTCCAATAAAATCCAGGTAGAATCAGGAGTTCACCTTTTTTCAATCTTTACTAACGACATGCCACTGGCTTTGAGTATGCGGAAGACTCAACACTATACACGTCAGCTACCACAGTGACTGAAATGACAGCAACACTTAACAAAGAGCTGCAGTTAGTTTCAGAATGGGTGGCAAGGAATAAGTTAGTCCTAAATATTTCAAAAACTAAAAGCATTGTATTTGGGACAAATCATTTACTAAACCCTAAACCTCAACTAAATCTTGTAATGAATAATGTGGAAATTTGTCACGGATTCAGCCGAGGCTGCTCCTCCTCCTTGCTCGGGCAGGCTTCGGCGTTCGTTGTCCCCGGAGTACTAGCTGCTACCGATCTATGTTTCGGTGTTTGTCTTGTTTGGTCTTTATTGTTTACACCTGTTTCCTATTATGTTGCATTGTATTCCCTTTAAATACCCCTGTCTCTCATAGTTTATTGTGTGTGATTGTTTTTCGTGAGGTCGGCAAGCTGTTGTGTGCCAGTATTGTTTCCTCCCTGTTAGGAGGGGTTTTGTACTTTCTATACTGTGTTCAGTAAAGTACGTCTGCCAGTAGCTCGGTGTCATGCGCTTGACTTCGTTACCGCATACACGTCAGCCTGACAGAATCACACACCACACATGGAGTCAGCAGGAGCGGCGGTGCCAGCTGAATCAATGGAGGAACGCGTCGAACTACAAGCGGCCATGATCCAGGCTCTCGGCACCGCCATGGAACGGGTGGTGAGCACTATGGAGCGATGGGAAAGAGGAGGTCTGCCTACACCTCCTCCGACGATACCACCACCATCGGCGATGCCCATCGCTTCACCTCCGGGGTCCAGTGGGATTCGGCTCTCGCTCCCGAGGGCTTATGATGGCACAGCTGCCGGGTGTCAGGGTTTCATGCTCCAGGTTGAACTCTACCTGGCAACCATCCACCCGGTGCCCTCGGGATACGAGAGCGTGTCCGCCCTCATCTCCTGTCTGTCCGGCAAGGCGCTGGAATGGGCCAACGCCGAGTGGGGGGGAATAGACGCCGCTACTGTCAACTATGCGGAGTTCACCCGCCACTTCAGGGCATTATTCGATCATCCACCAGAGGGGAAAGCGGCGGGTGAGCGTCTATTCCACCTCAGACAGGGGAGGAGGAGCGCACAGGAGTTTGCACTGGACTTCCGGACGCTGGCTGCCAACGCGGGATGGAATGAGAGGGCCCTCATCGACCACTACAGATGTAGCCTGAGGGAGGACGTGCGTCGGGAATTGGCCTGCAGGGACACCCTGTTGGCTACCCGCGGACGTCCGGATTCAGGGCTGTCCATTCCATCCCCCAGCACTTCCCAGCCGACCCCTATGGAGCTCGGAGGTGCTGGAGCTAGGGAGACCAGGAGAGAGACCAGGAGAGAGACCGTCCCCTGCACCAACTGTGGCCGCAGAGGACACACTGCTGGTCGGTGCTGGGGAGGGTCTCCTAGGAATCGAGGCAGTAGGCATCGCACTGATGAGTCATTCCAGGTGAGTAGGCACCCACCTCACCCAGAGCTCTCTGTTGCGCATATGTGTATTAAAGTGGTGTTTCCCGAGGTTTCTCCTCATTCCCAGCATAAGGCGCTAGTAGATTCAGGCGCAGCTGGGAATTTTATCGATCGCCAGTTCACCTATAAGTTAGGGATTCCTATTGTACCAGTTGATGTGCCCTTCCCCATCCATGCCCTAGATAGCCGCCCTTTGGGGTCAGGATTGATTAGGGAAGTCACAGCGTCTCTCAGGATGAAAACGGAGGAGGGTCATGAGGAGATCATTTGTTTGTATTTGATTGATTCTCCTGCGTTTCCCGTGGTGTTGGGGCTTACCTGGTTAACATCTCATGATCCCAACATTTCATGGCAACAGAGGGCTCTCAAGGGATGGTCTGATCTTTGTTTCGGGCGGTGTGTAGGTGTTTCCGTAGGGGCAACGACGGTGGAAAGTCCGAACCAAGTTCCCACCATGCACATTCCACCTGAATATGCCGATTTGGCACAATTACCACCTCATCGACAGGGGGATTGTGCGATAGACCTCCAAGTAGGCACTGCGCTTCCTCGTAGTCATGTTTATCCTCTGTCTCAGGAGGAGACGGCGGCTATGGAGACATATGTCACCGAATCTCTGAGACAGGGATACATACGGCCGTCCACTTCCCCTGCATCATCGAGTTTCTTTTTTGTGAAGAAGAAGGATGGGGGTTTACGCCCGTGTATTGATTACCGTGGTCTCAATCAGATCCCAATCAAATACAGCTATCCTCTCCCTCTGATTGCTAGTATGACTGAGTCATTACACGGGGCGCGATTCTTCACAAAATTGGATCTCAGGAGCGCGTACAACCTGGTGCGCATTAGGGAGGGAGATGAGTGGAAGACAGCATTCAGTACCACCTCGGGTCACTATGAGTACCTCGTCATGCCATACGGTTTAATGAATGCTCCTTCAGTCTTCCAATCGTTTGTGGACGAGATTTTCCGGGACTTGCATGGACAGGGTGTAGTGGTGTATATTGATGACATTCTAATATACTCCGCTATGCGAGCCGAGCATGTGTCCCTGGTTCGACGGGTGCTTGGTAGACTGTTGGAGCATGACCTGTATGTGAAGGCGGAGAAATGTCTGTTCTTCCAGGAGTCCATCTCCTTCCTGGGACACTGGTTGTCCGCGTCAGTGGTGGAGATGGAGATTGACCGCGTTTCTGCCATGCGTAATTGGCAGACTCCCACCACGGTGAAGGAAGTGCAGCGGTTCATGGGTTTTCCAATTACTACCAGAGGTTTATCCGGGGCTTTGGACAGGTAGCAGCTCCCATTACCTCCCTGCTAAAGGGGGGTCCGGTGCGTCTGCAGTGGTCGGCTGAGGCGGACAGGGCTTTTAGACATCTGAAGGGCCTGTTTACCTCGGCTCCGGTGCTGGCACATCCGGATCCCATTTGGCGTTCCAAGTTGAAGTGGATGCGTCCGAGGCTGGGATCGGTGCTGTACTGTCTCAGCGCTCGGGTACACCACCAAAACTCCGCCCCTGTGCTTTTTTTTCTAAGAGGCTCAGTCCGGTGGAGCGCAATTATGATGTGGGGGACAGGGGAGCTGTTAGCTGTGGTTCAAGCCCTGAAGGTGTGGAGGCATTGGCTTGAGGGGGCTAAACACCCTTTTTTCATTTTGACTGACCATCGTAACCTGGAGTACATCTGGGCGGCGAGGAGGCTAAACCCTCGCCAGGCAAGGTGGGCTATGTTTTTTACCCGATTTGTATTTAAGCTCACCTATAGACCAGGGTCACAGAACGCTAAGGCAGACGCCCTGTCTCGACTATATGATACAGAGGAGAGGTCCATTGAGCCCACTCCCATACTTCTGGAGTCTTGTCTGGTGGCACCGGTGGTGTGGGAGGTTGATGCGGACATCGAGCGGGCATTACGTACCGATCCTACTCCCCCACAGTGTCCAGAGGGTCGGAAGTACGTGCCGCTCGAGGTTCGTGATCGATTGATATATTGGGCTCACATGTCACCCTCCTCTAGTCATCCTGGTATTGGTCGGACAGTGCACTGCCTTAGTGGGAAGTACTGGTGGCCCACTTTAGCTAAGGACGTGAGGGTTTATGTTTCCTCCTGCTCAGTGTGCGCCCAGTGTAAGGCGCCTAGACACCTGCCCAGATCCCTCCATGTTGAGGGATTTCCACCGGAGTCATCCGACTCGCCCTGCCCGCGTACTCCTGGCCGTCCCCTGAGGCCGGGGTCAGCGCACGGCTGGGGCCGCGCGTCAAGGGGGGGTACTGTCACGGATTCAGCCGAGGCTGCTCCTCCTCCTTGCTCGGGCAGGCTCCGGCATTCATCGTCCCCGGAGTACTAGCTGCTACCGATCTATGTTTCGGTGTTTGTCTTGTTTGGTCTTTATTGTTTACACCTGTTTCCTATTATGTTGCATTGTATTCCCATTAAATACGCCTGTCTCTCATAGTTTATTGTGTGTGATTGTTTTTCGTGAGGTCAGCAAGCTATTGTGTGCCAGTATTGTTTCCTCCCTGTTAGGAGGTATTTTGGTATTGTACTTTCTATACTGTGTTCAGTAAAGTACGTCTGCCAGTAGCTCGGTGTCCTGCGCTTGACTTCGTTACCGCATACACGTCAGCCTGACAAAATTGAGCAAGTTGAGGAGACTAAATTGCTTGGAGTAACCCTGGATTTTCAACTGTCATGGTCAAAACATATTGATATAACAGTAGCTAGGATGGGGAGAAGTCTGTCTATAATAAAGCACTGCTCTGCATTCTTAACAGCACTATCAACAAGGCAGGTCCTACAGGCCCTAGTTTTGTCGCACCTGGACTACTGTTCAGTCGTGTGGTCAGGTGCCACAAAGAGGGACTTAGGAAAATTGCAATTGGCTCAGAACAGGGCAGCACAGCTGGCCCTTGGATGTACACAGAGAGCTAACATTAATAATATGCATGTCAATCTCTCCTGGCTCAAAGTGGAGGAGAGATTGACTTCATCACTACTTGTATTTGTGAGAGGTATTGACATGTTGAATGAACCAGGCTGTCTGTTTGAACTACTGGCACACAGCTCGGACACCCATGCATACCCCACAAGACATGCCACCAGAGGTCTCTTCACAGTCCCCAAGTCAAGAACAGACTATGGGAGGTGCACAGTACTACATAGAGCCATGACTACATGGAACTCTATTCCACATCAATTAACTTATGCCAGCAGTAAAATTAGATTTAAAAAAAAAACAGATAAAAACACACGTTATGGAACAACGGGAACTGTGAAGCAACACAAACATAGACACATGCAAACAAACACACAATAACATTGACTGTGTCCATAAAATGTAAATAGTGTGTATGGGCTGGAAGTAGATGCCTAGGCGTTGTTGTTCACTAGTTTACTCCAAGTGGGGAAAGGGTGGCAGGTTTGGAAATTAATAAAGGGGAATATATATATTTTTTTAAAGGATATGTATGTGTATGTATGTATGTGTGTGTGTGTATATGTGTATGTATGTGTATGTATATATATATATATATATATATATATATATATATATATATATATATATATATATATATATATATATATATATATATATATATTTTTATTTATTTATATGTGTATATGTATGTGTGTATGTATGTATATATGTATATATATATAAACATGGGGGATTGGAAGTGATGCAGACAATTACATTGATGGAAGTTACAATATATCTGCAATATTAAGCTGATCTAAAAATAAATACAAATACTTATGTGATTATCACAAACGCTATTAGGTGAACCGTGTATTATACTAATTCATCTTTGTATTATATTAATTCATATCGGAATTGGAATGATGTGTATACAGTAATGTTAAAATTAGTAACTGAAATCAATTAGTATACATTTAAAGAAATGCCATCAGTCTTTACAGTGAAACATGTTTTGTCTTGACATATTAGATGAAGGAATCAAAACATATGAATATAAACCTGTTTGTTCACAGTGTGAAGGACATCCAGTAATTGTGAGATTCTTTAACTCTGTTTGAACTTCTGCTCTTTATCTTGCTTTCTCAGAGGAAACTATGTGAGTGTGTATATAGCTATATGTGTGGTGAAGAATAAATGTGTGATGTACCATGTGAATGTAAGGTTCACAGTTCAATCCCCCCTAGGAAAACTAAAATCCGTTTGACCTCATTTTTACCATCATGTCACCTGTGCAACTAGAGGCGCCAAAATTCTAGATCACCTTTACTCCACACAAGGCTCTCCCTCGCCCTCCCTTTGGCAACTCTGACCATAACTCTATCCTCCTGATTCCTGCTTACAACCTCCTGATTTCTGCTTACAATCAAAAACTCAAACTGGAAGTACCAGTGACGCGCTCAATACGGAAGTGGTCCGATGAAGCAGATGCTTCGCTAAATGCCTTCTATGCTCGCTTCAAGGCAAGCAGCACTGAAGGGAGCTTATAGGGAGGAGGTCAGCGACCTGTCAGTGTGGTGCCAGGACAACAACTTCTCCCTCAACGTCAGTCAGCAAGACAAAGGAGCTGATCGTGGACTACAGGAAATGGAGGGCAGAGTACGCCCCCATCCACATCGACAGGGCTGTAGTGGAGAGGATCAAGATCTTCGTTCCTCAATGATCACATCATTAAGGAGTTAACATGTTCCACACACACCAACACAGTTGTGAAGAAGGCATGACAACGCTTCTTCCCCCTCTGGAGGCTGAAAAGATTTGGCATGGGCCCTCAGATCCTCAAAAAGTTCTACAGCTGCACCATTGAGAGCATCTTGACTGGCTGCATCACCGCTTGGTATGGCAACTGCTTGGCATCTGACCGCAAGGCGCTACAGAGGGTAATGCGTATGGCCCAGTACATCACTTGGGCCGAGCTCGCTGCCATCCAGGACCTCTATACCGGTGTCAGAGGAAGGCCCAAGAAATTGTCAAAGACTCCAGCCACCCAAGTCATAGACTGTTCTCTCTGCTACCGCACGGCAAGCGGTACCGATGCACCAAGTCTGGAACCAACAGGACCCTGAACAGCTTCTACCCCCAAGCCATAAGACTGCTAAATAGTTTGTTAAATAGTTAACCAAATAGCTACCAGGACTATCTGCATTGATCCTTTTTGCAATAACTCTTTTGACTCATCACATACGCTGCTGCTACTATTTATTATCTATCCTGTTGCTTAGTCACTTTACCCCTACCTATATGTACATATCTATCTACCTCAATTACCTCGTACCCCTGCACATTGACTCGGTACTGGTACCACGTGTATATCGCCAAGTTATCGTTGCTCATTGTGTATTTATTCCTCGTGTTATTATAATTTTTTCCAATTATTTTTCCATTTCTCTCTCTGCATTGTTGGGAAGATCTACACCTGTACTTACTTTCCTCCATCTTTGATTGTGTTTGTTGTGAAACGACCCTATCAACGTCATTAACATTCAAGCACATTCACAGCCCCATGCGTGCATATTTCAATACCACTTTATTTCACATTACTCAAAAGACCTGCGAAAGCCCGTCATAAGTGAAAGGTTGGAATGTCATCTATTACACAGTATCACATTGAACCCAAGTGACACTGTCTTTTCAAATTGCCGTGATCTCTTCACTCCCCAAAGGTCAGCCCCTATCCCTGCTAAATGCAACCTGACAGTGGATGCTACAAAGGGGACAGCCCGACGCATGCATCACCCGCTGCATCAAAGCCCTCCATATTAATCACTCCAATTAATGAAGAATGAAGCCCTAATGTTGATGAGGGCTGACAAGTCGACTGGTCAGTTGTTTTTATTTAACCATGCCCCTGTCGTGGTGAGGTAACCGCAAGAGACAGTTGTACAAATATTTGCATGACATGAGGTTTGTGTAGCGTGCCACACTTTTTTTCTCTGTCTTCCTCTCTCCCTCTATCTCTGTGACGATCCTCTCTACCTCTCCCTTTCTCTCTTCTCTTGCTCTCTCACAGCTCTAATAAGAATGCCACACCACCACTGCCACTCAAAGATGATATAACTTGATATGGATCATTACAGGAATAATGCTTAATCAATTCTCCTTGTTATTCTAATCTATTTCTGCATTTGTGTGCCTGCACACATTTCCCCCATGATGCATATTCAAATTTTAACGCGGATGCTTAACAGCCGAACGTAAGCGAAATTAGAACGAGGACATTTGACTTCATTAAAATACATAAAAGATTATTGAGTTTATCTTTTGAAATTAAAAATGTGTGTGACGCTCTCTGCTTTATCTGTCACCTGACTCCCCTGGGCCTGAGTCTCTAATAGAGAGGTAGGGAGGACCAAAGCCCAGGAGGAAGAGAGGGAGCGAGAAGAAGGGGAGAGAGAGAGAGAGAGAGAGAGAGAGAGAGACCAATCCCGCTGTCCAGCTTTGTTCAGTCTATATAGTATGTCAGACAGACAATGCCCTAGGCCACCAGTTCAGTGCTAACTAAGTTAATGTCCTAGACCTAGGCCACCAGCGCTAACCAAGCTAGAGTCCTAGGCTACCCAATGCTAACCAGGCTAGCATCCTAGACCACCAGTGCTAACCAGGCTAACATCCTAGACCACCAGTGCTCATTCAATTCAATTTGATGAAACTTTATTTATCACCTCAGGCACAATTAAGAAAGTCATTTTACAAGTATTAACCAAGCTAACATCCTAGGCCACCAGTGCTAAGCAGGCTAACATGGCTAACAAAGCCAGGCACTAGCTAGCGGCTAGATGTGTCCTTCCACCCTGAGAGCTTTATTATTAGAAAGGACATAAACAGACTAATTAAATTGCAGCAGTGAAGCTTGGCTGACAGCTGGTGCAGAGCTTGTGACCAAACATATCCCTATCAAATAGCAGGAGGCACTGCACACTGCGTAAAATGGATCTATTTTATTTACAGTATTTATTATTCAACATTTAGTTATCCAGGTTTGCTTTTGATATCATATCTAGGATTATTTTCTAGGATTATTATGGCTGATTTAATGCATAGTAATTTCTATATCCTGTAATATATTTATTGTAATACCAATGGTTTTATTGTTGTTCCTCTACTAAACCATAACACACAGACACAGACATAAAAAGAAAGTACAACACTTAACATGTATTCTGACTCAGCTTGCAATACAATCAATGCCCTGTAGCCTATCTTAGTGTTTACCCCATATAGAGAGAAACCTAGTTATGCATTGATCTCAAATAATAAGGGCTAACTGTGTTGATGTACCGTCTGGAGGAACAATGTGTCCTGGTTCTATTCTCTGCTGCTATGAAAAAAAACACACACACACACACACACCAAAACTTAACAGGGGGCATTTGGAGCTTGCCAAAATGAATACACCCTGAATAATTGATGAAGGCCTTTTAAAAGAATTGTAATCTGCCTGCTGACGACCACAAACATGAAACCCACTGATGAGGAGAAAATATGGTTTTAACAAGTCAATAATGGCAAGAGCAACCGGAGCAAGCTTAATCAATGAGGCCGCTGCGTTTGCAAACAAGGACCTGAATTATAATGCCGATAATTGATTCTCGCCCCAAGTCCTTTCTCTCTCTCTTTGTCTGTGTCTTTGTGCTCTCCTTCACGTGATGTCATTGTTTATTGATTCCTTCCTCCGAGGGGGGGAGAGATGATGGGAAGTTTCCCGAGTTTGTTTATCGCTGTGACTTCTGCTCCCCTTCTCCCTCCTCCCTCTCTCCTTCCTCCCTCCTCCCTCCTCCCTCTCTCCTTCCTCCCTCCTCCCTCCTCCCTCCTCCCTCTCTCCTTCCCCATTTGAAATTTTGCAAGCCGCCACAAGCAGCTTAACCAAAAAGGATTAAGTCCCATGGCCAACTGAGAACACAGATAATGCTCAGTAATTGGTAAAAAATGAAGATGAATGGGACAGCCAGATAAGGGCCAATTAGTTGCTCGCCGTTTACAGCTGTGGTCTCCTCCTCACGGAGCCCTCTCAGGGGCCCCAGCCAGCTCGCGCACACACACACAAACACACACACACAATAAATAATGAAGAAGTGGAAAGTGGATAGTGGATAGTGGATAGTTTCTTATGATTATCAGTGAAATTTACAAAATATAGATTATTATGTATAGCTTTGTCATACTATAAATTACCAACCACCTAGTTTTGGATTATTTAGAAGGTATATTGCCCTGCTTATGAGAGGAGCTGGCTACTATACCGGGGACTTCCAGCAATTGCGCTAAGCTAACAATATGCTAACTTCAATCATCTCCAAACTGTACGCAGAGACATAAAAATGGTTTCCATGAGTTCGTCTGACTCTGGGTAAGTAGATAAACGACCTAATTTCGAAATCTCACAGTATCCCTTTAAGATGTACATGGCAGCATTGTCTGGTTGATGACGGATGGAATTCCCACACCTAATTACAGACCGAATGTAAGGTCCATTTCCATTACCACAGTGAGGTGGAGTCAGGTGCATGGCCAGAGAATGGGGGTTAGAGAGGAAGAGAAAGAGAGGGAGCTCCACAACATAGAGAGCATAAACAGCGATACAGGATACAATGTCACTAATTACGGTTCCAAGTGAGACTGCCACTGAACCAGTTCTCTTGAAATTGGCAGGTGTTTGTTAGTGGGCAGCAGCTGACAGTGTTTTCTGTCCCGGTAATAAAGGTTGTGGTTGGGGTCAGTGCGTTGGGATTGAATGGCAGGCTGGCTGTTTATCCCACTGAAAGGCCTAGTGCTACATGTGCTCTAACCTGGTTTTGTGATCTATAATTGTGTGTTATTTCCTGACAGCCACAGGAACAATCCAAAATGTACACATTGAGAGGGCCTCTGTACCCCCTTTGAAAACCACACACACACACACACACACACACACACACATACACACACACCACCTCCTTCTCAAGACTGTCAGGGAGAATCAAAGAGAGTGAGAGACAAACATTTTGTCTAATCAGAGAACAAGCTCTCTCTCTCTCACACACACACACACACACACACACACACTCTCTCTCTCCCTCTCTCCCTCCCTTCCTCCCCTTTCACAGGATGTTTGGCCACTTTGGCTGGGTTTAGCTGGCCGGTTGTTTTTCCTGATAAATAATAACGTTGATGCAAACAGGAAGGTCTAATTGTGATTTAGTGTTTCCCCTAGGCTTTTTTTCAGCAGTGGTGGCATGGTTAGTGGGGGTTGGAGTGGTGGTGGGGGGGGGGGGGTGCAGTCTCCGACCCAAAGTTTTAACGGCCCTTCTCTTGGCCACAGAGTCGAAATGTTGCCGTTTTAGAGCTAATTTTGCCATGGGGTGGAGAGAACATTTTACAGTTTTAAAGCTAGTTTCCTGCAATTCTACACATTTTAGATTATCCCTGACAATCTAGTTTTTAGTTTGGTGATTGTTAGTGTTCAAAGAGGTTCTTACTAAACAATATATAGCTCCATTATCTTTTCTACAGGACATACTTTATATCAGTCTATAGTCGTTTAAGTGAACACTGACATCTTTTTAACAATCCTGAAAATGATTGGCGACAACGAACATCAATATAGGGGAAACACTGTGATTAATTTTTTATGTGTGGGAGAGAAACATTAGCCTGTTCCATTGACATCAACACAATGATGGCAGACTCACCGCAATCCAACTCCACCAACAGAACAGGGTGTCCTTCACTGTCTCTACCTCTGTCTTTGACTGCCTCTTTCTCTGCCTCTGTCGCTTTATCTGTGTCTGCGTCTGTCTCTGCCTTTGTCCCTGCCTTTATTTATGTCCCTGCCTCTAACACTACTTCTGTATCTGTCTTTACTTCTCTGTCTCTGCTTTTGCGTCTGCCTTGTTTCTATACCTCTGTCTCTGCCGCTGTTTCTTCCTTTGTCTAGAACAAGTAGTAGTAGTATTATACAATTCTCACAATATCATCATCACCATCAACCCTTTTGAATTACTATTTTCTTTGATTTCTATTCACTCTCTCTCTCTCTCTCCCTCTCTTTCTCTTTAAAACAGAGCATTTATTCACATCCTCATCAGCACTGCCCTGCACTGTTATCCACAGTGAGTCCAGACCAACAGAGCCCAACAAGGCAGCAGGCAAATCAAGTTCCCCTCTTGCACAGTCATATAGCTATATCTGTCAAGTGATTTAGAGGCCTGGATTCCGCAGGCATAATGGACTGTAGACCAGGACATATTAGGCATGCAGGAATCCAAACTAGACATGGGACTAAGTACTGCAGGGAAGTAAAACATTTATGCTCTTTATGGTATGTGTCAAAGGATCTGTTTTTTATTCGCTTCGCTCTTAATGCAACAGTGGAAAATAGGACCTTTTTGTTTTAACGCAATAAATGTTCCCTAGCAATGAAAGAGATCCCTTTGCAAATATGGCTATTTCATTTAACCAGATAAGTAATTGAGAAGAAATTCAACTTATAGCTGATCCTCACTGGTCTATTCAAACAAACCATTATGTACAACTGGCAATTGAAACATTGACGGAACGTTGCTTTTTCCTTTAACATTTTTAAATTTTAGTCATTTAGCAGACACTCTTATCCAGAGCGACTTACAGTTAGTGAGTGCATATACACTGCTCAAAAAAATAAAGGGAACACTAAAATAACACATCCTAGATCTGAATGAATGAAATAATCTTATTAAATACTTTTTTCTTTACATAGTTGAATGTGCTGACAACAAAATCACACAAAAATGATCAATGGAAATCAAATTTATCAACCCATGGAGGTCTGGATTTGGAGTCACCCTCAAAATTAAAGTGGAAAACCACACTACAGGCTGATCCAACTTTTATGTAAAGTCCTTAAAACAAGTCAAAATGAGGCTCAGTAGTGTGTGTGGCCTCCACGTGCCTCCCTACAACGCCTGGGCATGCTCCTGATGAGGTGGCGGATGGTCTCCTGAGGGATCTCCTCCCAGACCTGGACTAAAGCATCCGCCAACTCCTGGACAGTCTGTGGTGCAACGTGGCGTTGGTGGATGGAGCGAGACATGATGTCCCAGATGTGCTCAATTGGAATCAGGTCTGGGGAACGGGCGGGCCAGTCCATAGCATCAATGCCTTCCTCTTGCAGGAACTGCTGACACACTCCAGCCACATGAGGTCTAGCATTGTCTTGCATTAGGAGGAACCCAGGGCCAACCGCACCAGCATATGGTCTCACAAGGGGTCTGAGGATCTCATCTCGGTACCTAATGGCAGTCAGGCTACCTCTGGCGAGCACATGGAGGGCTGTGCGGCCCCCCAAATAAATGCCACCCCACACCATGACTGACCCACCGCCAAACCGGTCATGCTGGAGGATGTTGCAGGCAGCAGAACGTTCTCCACGGCGTCTCCAGACTCTGTCACGTCTGTCACATGTGCTCAGTGTGAACCTGCTTTCATCTGTGAAGAGCACAGGGCGCCAGTGGCGAATTTGCCAATCTTGGTGTTCTCTGGCAAATGCCAAACGTCCTGCACGGTGTTGGGCTGTAAGCACAACCCCCACCTGTGGACGTCAGGCCCTCATACCACCTTCATGGAGTCTGTTTCTGACCGTTTGAGCAGACACATGCACATTTGTGGCCTGCTGGAGGTCATTTTGCAGGGCTCTGGCAGTGCTCCTCCTGCTCCTCCTTGCACAAAGGCAGAGGTAGCAGTCCTGCTGCTGGGTTGTTGCCCTCCTACGACCTCCTCCACGTCTCCTGATGTACTGGCCTGTCTCCTGGTAGCGCCTCCATGCTCTGGACACTACGCTGACAGACACAGCAAACCTTCTTGCCACAGCTCGCATTGATGTGCCATCCTGGATGAGCTACACTACCTGAGCAACTTGTGTGGGTTGTAGACTCCGTCTCATGCTACCACTAGAGTGAAAGCACCGCCAGCATTCAAAAGTGACCAAAACATCAGCCAGGAAGCATAGGAACTGAGAAGTGGTCTGTGGTCACCACCTGCAAAACCAGTCTTTATTGGGGGTGTCTTGCTAATTGCCTATAATTTCCACCTGTTGTCTATTCCATTTGCACAACATCATGTGAAATGTATTGTCAATCAGTGTTGCTTCCTAAGTGGACAGTTTGATTTCACAGAAGTGTGATTGACTTGGAGTTACATTGTGTTGTTTAAGTGTTCCCTTTATTTTTTTGAGCAGTGTATTTTTCATACTTAAATGTGGAAGAAGTGTTGGCTTTCCCTTTTTAAACATTGCTTAAACTTTGCTCTCTTTACATTGTCCATCTAATAAGACTATACTATACTAATTTTATTCCCAGACACTTCTGCCCAAATGTGCAAAGAGAAAGAGTCTGGTGGATCAACGTGTCAAACTTGGCCTTCCTTAGCCAATACAGAAAGACTGGGAGAAACTCCCGGCACATAGGCATTGGCTTAATCATCTTAATCTACCAACCAATCATCTCCCACAACACCTTCCCCCTAACCCTCCCCCGTGCGTGTGCCTTACATGTCTTGTGTACCTCTTTTTACGGAGCCACACCTCGCAGTTGTGTGATTCGCTAAAACTAAATGAGGACACTGTTCCTTTCTCTCTCTGTTCCTTTCTTCCATCTGTAGAGACTATACTAGGGCCATATACTGTATCTCCTGTGGATTATCTTGATGACTTCTGCTGGCCACCCCTGTCACACAAGAGTGTCTGATATAAACAAGAGATTGCTGTGACACCCAGTAATCAATATAAGGATGGCTTCAGTACCAAACATAATTTGTCTCAGCAAGCCATTCCTTTGACCAAACGAAGCATTAATTCCAATCATAAATCTGAGGCCAATTTCAATCCAGGGAGTGAGAGGGGAGAGAAGGAGAGAGAGAGTGAGACAGGCGAGATAGAAAGAGAGAAGGGGGGGAGAGAGCGAGAGAGAGCGAGAGAGAGAGAGAGAGAGAGAGAGAGAGAGAGAGAGAGAGAGAGAGAGAGCGAGAGAGAGAGAGAGAGAGAGAGAGAGAGAGAGAGAGAGAGAGAGAGAGAGATGAGGTTCTCTGTCTGCCTGCCTAGCCCCTAATGATTTATTTTCTACATTTCTGCGAGAGAGATTTGTCCATACGCAGTGACAGGTCACCTTCAAACGCCAGTGGCAGACTGTTCATCACCATGAACACGAGCAACTCATCGCTGCAAGTAAATATTAAAGGAAAATAATCCAATTGATTGTGGATGGGGCCAAGAGGCGTCACCGTCATATATTTCACTCAGGGAGCTAATGTCGTGACCGGCGCACCCACACTCACAAACACACATGCACACACACACAAAAGAGAAATAAACACAGACATGCATACAGACGTACACACACACACACACATGCATGCGCACTCACACACACACACCGCTGCTCCCTTCTACAGAATTATGATTCTTCAGGGAGTGCTTTCTTATGTGTGGCTGGCTGGCTGGCCGTGTGCTCAAGGTTACAATTTAAATTGTAAAAAGATAAAACAGTTTATTTTCAGCTCCATTGCCGTAGCCTTGCTGTTCTTATTCACATTTATCTTGATTTCGGTGACCTCATAGCCTCGTTTTCTCATTGGTCGTAGACCCGTTTTCATTTTTTTGGGATTGATGACCTCAGAGCTCATGAATTGTGCTTCTTTGTTCAATCTGCTTAGCGACAGCATCCTGTTTTTACCCAAATATACAGTGTCAAGTACTTCTGTCGAGACACTTAGAGTAAGTGAATCAAAAACACTATTTAGTGAATCAAAGCTTTAGGGATTACATGGAGCCTATAATTTGTAATGGGCTCATAATAATTCAACACTATATTAGAATTTTCCACAATACGCTAAGTGGCTCGGTGGCGATATGAGCAAAATCCGTCTGCATTTGTGGGCTAATAATTAATTGAAATGGCACATATTGAAAAAGCAATGCTCTTGCTGTGATTAAATTAAAGAAATTAGAGACTGAGTTTATGGCTAATAGCTTTGGGATACAGTGTTCATGGATTAAACTTTGTATTAACAATGTCTGTGTTGTTTTTAGATTGGATATGAAGGCTGGGGATTTTACATAGCAGTAGAGAACAAGACTTTACAGACAGAATGTACCATTTGCATTACAAAGATGTGGACAAATGCAAATAATGATACAATTGTTTTATAGACATCCAACTTAATATACTAGCCAATTGTAGTGAACATACAAGGCTATTTTGTAGATGTTTCAACTGGACCTGTATTCTTTGAACTGTCCACACTCTGCTCCAAACTGGCAAGAATAGATATGTTTGGAATCCAGTACCTTAGCTTGGTGAGTATCTTTGAGCTGTTGGTGCATTTAAGCTTGTAGTGGCATTCAGCTGTACAAATGTACAGCTTTGGTTCAACACAAGCTGTATATAGATGACATCTGCAAACTCTGATACTCGTCTTTTGTTATGTATGTGTCTGTGTGTCTGTACCGGTGTGCGTCTGCATACGTATTCATACCTGCATTGCTATCTGCATGCATGTCTTTGTGTGAGTGTGAAGACCTGTATGCACCTGTACGCTTGCATGTGTGTGTGTGAAGGGCACACTGACTGACTCACCCACGCTGGAGCTGAGGTCTCCGTTCTCACCGTCTGCCCCATGCTGGTTGGCGTTGCCGTGGTAGCCGCTCATCACCTCCAGCTTGATCTTCTTCACCTTCATGGCTTCGACGATGGCTGCGGTGGCAGCTGCCGCCGCTGCCGCTGTCAGCCCTTAACACACCACACCGGAGAGGACACAGTTAGATACACACTTAGAATACAACACTTAGTTGGTCTAGACCAGGGGTTGGCTGCTTTTTTGAAGGATGTATTTACATTTTTATATTAAACATCTTATGAATTATTATTTTATGAATCAATAATACATAATTCATAACTAAAATGTGTATCATGAATGGTCCGCCACTCAAAGGACATCCAGGCAACTTCACACAACTGTAGGAAGCATTGGAGTCAACATGGGCCAATGGGCCAGCATCACTGTGGAATGCTTTCGACACCTTGTAGAGTCCATCCCTGACGAATTGAGGCTGTTCTGAGGGCAAAAGGGGGTGCAACTCAATATTAGGAAGGTGTTCCTAATGTTTTGTACACTCAGAGTATATGGCTTGCCTGAAGGCCAAAAAAAGAAGAGAGCAATTCATGAATACATACAGTGTATCACATACTGAATATGTACAGTATATACATCAATAACATTGAATAAAACATTGATTGAGTGATTTATTAATTTTATTTAGGGTAAAACAAGTTGAAAAAGTGGCATTCAGCTGTACAAATGTACAGCTTTGGTTCAACACAAACTGTATGTAGATGAGATCTTCAAACTCTGATACTCGCCTTGCTTAAGTATGTGTCTGTGTGTGTCTGTGTGCAAGTGTGTGTGTGTCTGTGCCAGTGTGCGTCTGCATATGTATTCATACCTGAATTTGTATCTGCATGCGTGTGAGTGAGGACCTGTATGCAAATTATCGTGCACATGTGCTGTTCTGACGGCAAAAAGGGGTGCAACTCAATATTAAGTAGGTGTTCCTAATGTTTTGTACAGTCAGTGTATATGGCTTTTCTGAAGGCCAAAAGAAGAGTGCCACCTGTTGGTCGGTGGTCTCCGAAAGAGGACTGATAATGACTAGCAGGTGACAGGGACACAATTCACACTTTATTCCACAGCCAACGAAGGCATACATGCACAACTTTAAAGAGAAGGGAACTAGTGGTAGTGGTTTCTACAAGAGAGAGAAATACAGAGAACGTATTACATTGTGGTAATAACAGGATAGTGACTGTATAATGACAATAGAGAATGTACATGATAGCAATAGCATACCAGATAACTATACAGTCACAATGTGCTATGGCAATAGGCAATAAAACTTCAAGGCATCATGCAGCAGCTAGTATCATAGGCTAATAAGCATAGCACTCAAAGGGAACAATATATACAAAACAATGAGCTAGCATGCTAGCTAGACCATGGGCTGGTGGGTGTAAAACACTGCACAGTATGTAGCACAACTAACATTAGCAAACTAGCGGTGTTGGTAAATATTGCTAACATACACACAGTAATATGTACAATAGCAGCTGGCACGCTAGGCTACATAGCACAGTGATAAATGCAGTATACAATTAGCGGCTAGCATAGTGCTAGCATGCTAGGTGGCTATGCTAATGTGTGAACAGTAGGCATCTCAAACAGGGGTATTCAAACGGGGGTCCTCATTTTTTTCAGCTTCCAGGAATTATGTACAGATCCTTGCGAAATGGGGCCGTGCAATATCATGCTGAAACGTAAGGTGATGGCGGCGGATGAATGGCACGACAGTGGGCCTCAGGATCTCATCACGGTATCTCTGTGCATTCAAATTGCCATAGTTAAAATGTATTTTCGTTAAATGTTCGTTGTTCACAATGTTGACATCAGCAATCCGCTCACCCACACGACGCCACACAACGAAACTGTGATTCCTCTGTGAAGAGCACACTTCTCTAGCTTACCAGTGGCCATCGAAAGTGAGCATTTGCCCAGTAAAGTCTGTTACGACGCCGAACTTCAGTCAGGTCAAGACCCTGGTGAGGACAAAGAGCACGCAGATGAGCTTCCCTGAGATGGTTTCTGACAGTTTGGGCAGATATTCTTCGGTTTTGCAAACCCACAGTTTCATCAGCTGTCCGGGTAGAGAAATTAACATTCAATTCTCTGGCTACAGCTCATGTGGACATTGCAGCAGTCAGCATACCAATTGCATGCTCCCTGAAACTTGAGACATCTATGGCATTATGTTGTGTGACAAACCTGCTCATTTTAGAGTGTCCTTTTATTATCCCCAGCACAAGGTGCACCTGCTTAATCAGCTTCTTGATATGCCACACCTGTCAAGCGGATGGATGATCTTGGCAAAGGGTAAACGGTCACTAACAGAGATGTAAAAAAAAAATTACAAAACATTTGAGAGAAATAAGCTTTTTGTGCGTTTCCCCCAAAATTTCTGGGATGTTTTATTTCAGTTCATGAAACATGACACTTTACGTTTATATTTTTGTTCAGTGTATGATGTGAGGAGGTTATTATAATGAAAAATCTATTCATTTTAAAATGTTGATTATTTGTCCTTGCCATTATCATTCACCAACCCAGTCTCACAGATTATTGTGAAATAGACACACATTGCTTTTTGGAAATTTGTGACAGGCACACAAAATAGTCAATAAAGACAGTAAGTTACTTAAGACAGAAAAAATAAGAGGGAAGTTGGCCAGGGAGGATGGGTGGGTGTATAATGTGAATGTCTAGAAACCCAAAGGTTGTGTGTTCGAATCTCATCATAGAAAACTTTTTCACTAATTAGCTACTTTGCAACTACTTACGACTTTTGAGCTACTTTGCAACTACTTAGCATGTCAGCTAACCCTTCCCCTAACCCTAACCTTAACCCTTTAACCTAACTCCTAAACCTAACCCTTTTACTACTTAGCTAGCATGTTAACTAGCCCTAACCTTAACCCCTAAACCTTAATCCCTAACCTTAACCCTTAGCCTAACTAATGTTTGCCACCTAGCTAGCCTAGCTAATGTAATCCACAACAAATTGGAATTTGTGTAATGTGTACGAATGCGTTATGAAGAAAGAAAATCGTGTAATACACACGAAATGCGTTGTGACGAAAATCGTGTAATACACACGAAAAAGTGGTCTTTCATGTGCCTGTCACAAATTTCGAATAAGTAATTTGTGTCTATTTCACAGTAAGCTGTGATAGTGTGTTGCATTCACCGGTTTGCCTGGACTGAGGTCCCTGGGCAAGAAAAGGTTGAAGACCCCTGCTCTACAATATGACCATGGGGGCAGCCATCTTGGGTTGTGCAACAACAAAATGACAGCCCTCTTAAGGCCCATAATGACTAATAGGGAAAGTCTCTATACCTGGCCTGAACACTTAAAGCGATGCTTCCAAACTTTTGTATAATTTCAGCCAGTAGTTTTGAAAGTGGTGCTCACAAGTCAAAACGGGTCCTTGTTTTTTGTGTATTACGTCATCCATTTGTGTACTACGTCATCCATTTAGTATGATATGTTAAGTCCTGCAAAAATATATAATTTGCAATTCATATGACATGCTACGAATCCAATTCGTACAGCATGTTACAAATTTGTTGTGCTTAAGATCCCAGACTGCATCTTTAAGTACACAGACTAGCATATCGGACAATACACCTTGACCAATAAATTCTACTTACATTTACAAGGACCCACTACATGCTAGTGGAGGAGAGAAGGGTCTATTGGTGAGTGGTCCAGCTGTGTGAAGTGCAAGGCAGAGGTTTATGAGAGATATCCTCACTCTGCCACTGCTTGCTGGATACTGAGCCCAGACTGGGCTGGAGCAAGCTCTTATCCCACCTGCCTACTGGACAGATGCCCTGAGGAGATGCAAATGGTCAGGGTCAAAGGTGGTGATGGGGCGGTCAAGTGTCCCAATCAGAGGTCACTGGGTGTGCTCTAGAAAGACCCCTGGCAACAATCACTAGCAATAGTGGCCAGGGCCAGAAGTGTGAATGACTGGTGGATGGTAGCCTCTGCTGGGGCTGGAGAGTTGTAAAGCTTGTCTCGTACCAGGGCCAGAGAGAGGGATTGAGACAGGGTTTTCTACAGCCACCACAAAATGTATGAAGTACATTTTCACCTCAAATTCTCTGGTGAGGACGTGGCTGTGTGTCCTCTGTATTCTCCCTGTAAAGTCCAGTGGCGTTTGTAAGGCACCAAGAAGGTGGAAGTCCTGCCTCCTCATGTCGCCACCCCTTCACTGGCATGTGTGGAGCGGGCAGTGGTCACAGTGTCTGTGAGTTAAGTCTGTCCAGCAGGAGTAAGGGTGGTCCGTGCCTGTGCTGCTGGAGGTGTCCAGGTTGGTGGAGGTGACCATCCCACGTAATTGGGCCAGGCATCCCTGGCTGGAGCGGGGCGAGAGAGCTTCTCAAGTTGAGGCTCTCCTACAGGGGCTGGATAGGCATAGAGGTCCGTAGGCAGAGGCAGGCCCAGATATGGTCCAGGCAGTGGATCCAGGACTGGCGCTGGGTCAGCTGATGAGCCGAGGATAAGGACAGGCATCAGACCCATGGCTGGAGCTGGGTTGGGCGATTGCATTGGTCTGTCCTTGTGGGCCAATGAGTGCCGTGGACCCAGCTCTGGAGCTGGTTCAGCCAATGGTGTTGGGCCCGGGACAGGAGAGGGAGGCGGACCCAGGACTGGAGCTGAGTCGGCTAGTGGGTCCAGGATAGGGCCGGACTGGTCCTCCAGGACGGCAGTGGACATCGTGACCAGAACTGCAGTCTGGTCTGATGCTGGCAGGTCCAGGAGAGATACAGAAGGCTCACCTGCTGCTGGAATCTGAAGCGTCAAGTGGGACTCTGGTTGGAGAGTCGGCTTGGGCGTCATGTCCAGGCTGAGCAGGTCTACAAGGGCAGCAGACAGTGTAGGGACCAGCACCCCCGTCCCCAGGGAAAGTTGCACCCCTGCTTTTAGACATATATGATATTGGGATTACTCCGAATATCACACATGGACGTTTCCTATGACCGGATATGGACTCATTCAATATTCTGGGATATGTGACATCCTATTTTCTCTCTTCATGTTGACAAATACTGACTGTATACATCGCATATCTGTATTTTCTCAGCACACTCCAGATAATAAGCTATATTGATTCCA